CCCCCCCCAGCCGCCCTCCTTCCGGCCCCCCACCTCTGCACCTAGGCCACCCCCCCACTCGAGCTCCCTGCACTCAAACACCAACCATGATGAACCCCACCACCCTGAGCCCCCACATCCAAACCCCCATGCCCCTGACCCCCAACTAGCTGCACCCAGATCCCCACCTCACCAAGCCCCACTTCCCCAGCACCCAGACGCCCCTGTTGTGACCCCCACCCCAAACCCCTCTGCTGAGCCCCAACCACCTTCACCTGGAAGTCCCTGCAGAATCCCATTGCACCTGGAACCCTCCCAATGAGCATCTCTGCATCCAGAGCCCCCCACACCGAGCTCCTCCACACTTTGAGCCTGCCTGCCCCACACCTGGTGCTCCTGGCACAGAGGGGCAGGGCCCCAGGGTGTTTCTGGGGCCAGCCCAGGCCTTGTGCTGTGTCAGGGTCTGGTGCAACCTCACCACTGAGTCTCTGTCCCAGGGGTTTGGGGGGGACGGGACTGCAGGGTGATCTCCCACCTTCGTGCAGGCAGCGGTCTGTGCTCCCCCCCTGCCATGCTGAAGCCTCTGCATTTATTTATTGACAAATAAAACTTGCGGAATTTTAATTTTTTGGCAGAGAATGCCCTCAGGAGTAGAACATTGATGTGATTCGTGGCATAAGCAACCATCTATCACAAAGTCCAGCATGCCTGGGTGGCAAGATAGAAAATACCCAACGGACTGTCTGAGACTCCATGATAAGATTGTTATAGTGCTTTAGGAGTTCACATTTGTTACTGGGTTGGTATAGAAAACACAACAGTTTGAGGTTTTTGACTTGCTCCAGACAGTGTGACACCATCCCACAGAAAAGTTCACATCACCTCCCCCCCCCCAAAAAAAAACGGGGTTCCCAATTGGAATGCCAAGTCAGGTTTGTGGAATTTTCCACAGGAGGGACATTTTTAAGAATTCCATGTCAGTCAGGGAGCCAGATCTGGCAGTGAGCAAGGCAGACTCACCAGCTGGTTTTCCATCAGATGGAAGTGATGTGTTGGCCCAGCCCGGCCCAGCCCTTTTCAGTTGTATCAAATCAATATTTTCTGACAGAAAACTAGGCCAGCGGGATACTTTTGAGTAGCTCTAGCACCAGTCACCTAAAGAAGCATGCGGTAAAGAGAGGGTTTGAGCAAGGCACTCAAATGACCACAGTCCCCCTGAAAGTCCCGTAGCCCAAGGCAGAGCAGGAGTGTGTGGTGCTACCCCTGAGGGGAATGCGTTGCATGGGGCTGGGGGAATGGTGCAACAGACAGGTGTAGAATCAGGCTGCGGTATGGATGAGGAGGAGGAAAAGGCCGATGACTGGGATGGCGTGGGTTGGAGCTGTATGCATAAATAGCAGCAGAAAGCAGGCATGCTTAACATTGCTCAGCAGTGACAGAACTCATTAAGCAACAATTGTCTTGTTTACTTCTTAGCTCTGGCTAGTATCAGCTGTTCAAAGTTACTGCCCTGCTGCACCACTACTGCGGGAATACCTGGGTCCTTCTTTGTGTCTTTATCCATGGGGATCCCACTGATAATGCACATACACCTCACGCATGCAAAGATTGCAGTCTTTTCTCCACCCGTGTGCATTGGAGCCCCGCATCTCATGCCTCCCAACATGAGGGCAGAATGGCCGCAAGCACCTTTCCATTCCCTCTGCTTGCCCATGGCAGTAGGTCAGAATTTGGCAGCATCCACTTGTTACCCTGAAATGCCCTTGCATCACATCAATTTTGTAGATGTTATAATTATTGTAATTCGTTATTAGTTATTCCTATAATTAGTTTAGAAGATGGATCTGACTTAGGCAGAAAAGCC